GAGGCATTGAGAAAAGAAGGATATGAAAATCTTGGTGCAGAACTAAACATTCAAGGCAGATACAATGTGATTGTTAAGGTGATCAAGGAAACGTCGAACAAGTGCGTTCCGCGTGTGCAGATTGCCAAGAGAAGAAAAGTAAATCCCTGGTGGAACAATGCCTGCAAGAAGGCGGTGCAAGAGAGAAATCGTCTTAAAAACAGGTTAAGAAGGTATTATGATCTAAATGATGTTAAGAAATACTTAAAGAAGAAAGCTGTCGCTCAGAAGGTAATCAGGAGAGCTCAATATGATTATTGGTTAGAGTACTGCCGTAGAATGAATAGATTTACAGACATTGGGAAAGTCTGGGAACAGGTTAAAAGAATGCGGGACAGTACAAAGAACAAGCACATCTTTCACAATCTATTTGTAGACGGAAATATCTTGAAAGAATCTGAGGAAAAAGCAAATGCAATGGCAACCTATTTTAAATCGGTTGATGAATCACTTTCCGTAACTAAAAATGAAAACGAAAATATCTTGTACAATAATTCTTCAACAAATGATGATGATTGTATCAATGATGACTTTAACATGAGTGAAATGGGGAATGTTTTAAAGGAGATGAAAAACTCCTCATCCGGTAAGGATGATATTTATTTAATTATGATTAAGAATTTGCCGAACAAGGCACTCGTGTATTTATTAAACTTGTATAATGACATTTGGAAAATCTCACTTTTTCCACATCAGTGGTATGAGGTTATTCAAATACCAATCTTGAAATCCGGAAAAGATCCGACTCAAGTGACCTCTTATAGGCCGATTTCGTTGATATCAACATTCTCTAAAATTATGGAAAAAATGATAAAAAATCGCCTGACGTGGTTTCTAGAAACAAACAGACTATTAAATCCTATTCAATCTGGCTTCCGCAAATATAGGAATGTCAAAGATCACTTAGTGAGATTGGAGACGGACATACATATATCCTTGAAAAGTAAAAAATATACCGTAGCGGTCTTTCTTGATTTAGAAAAAGCATATGATTCGCTATGGAAAACAGGTCTACTAAGAAAATTATCTATCTTAGGCATTGGTGGAAAAATGTTACTTTTTATAAAAGCATTTCTATTGAGTAGGATTTCTAATGTGAGGATAAATAACTATATGTCTCGCCACTACACGTTAGAAAATGGAATCCCGCAAGGAAGTTCATTAAGTCCTTTATTATTTACTTTAATGTTAAATGATCTCAAGATAAATGTAAGTGATGTTAAATTATCTTGCTATGCTGATGACATTGCAATCTGGTGTTCAAATAAGGATTTAGAGCTGGCCCGCAGGAAATTACAAGAGGCCCTGCATGAGCTTGAGATATGGTGTTGGACGTGGAAGTTAAACGTTTCCCCTACCAAATCTGCAGTATTAGTCTTTACCAACAAACAAAAGAAAGATATTCTTCTACAAATAAAAGGACATAATCTGCCTATATGCGAGCAGTATAAGTTCCTTGGTGTGAGGTTTGACTCCAATTTAACTTGGTCTGTCCATATAGATTCTATCATTGATAAATGTAAGAAAAGAATAAACTTGCTACGTTGTGTCTCCGGCACCCCCCGGGGAAGTAAGTATGAGATTTTGATGATGATTTATAAAGGACTTATCCTATCCATTTTGGACTATGGGAGTGAAATGTATGATTCTGCTTGTATATCTTTAACAAAAAAACTTGACTCTATCCAATACAGAGCCTTAAAAATTATTACAGGCACAATACACAATGTGTCCTTGGAGGCTTTACAAGTTTTGACCGGGGAGCTGCCTCTGAGATATCGTAGAAGGTTGTTAAATGATAACTTTCGAGTTTATTTACTGTCTAGTACTTTAAACCACCCAACAAAAGAAGTATTGGGTGATGACTATGATTTAAATAACTTAGAATGGAAGATAGGAGAAGGACCTTTTAAACTGCGATCCTTTAGAGACGAAGTAGTGGTGGAAGGGCAAACCAACTTATTGCCGAAAATCCCAGAATGGCGGTTAGCACGACCACAAGTGTCTTTCGAACACCATGGCAAAGTGCAAAAAAAGGAAATGCCTCCATTTAAAATAAAATCGATTGTTCTAGATAGCATTGGAAATTCATGGAATGGGTTTTTACATATATATACAGATGGTTCTAAACTCGAGGATGGGAAGACAGGAGCCGCATTTTATGTGTCTCATTATAATGTGGTGAATTTTTTTAGATTATCCCATGTCTGTATTATGAGAGCAGAACTAGTGGCCATACTAATGGCACTAGAGTGGATTAATACATTTATTGAATCCTCTTCGGTGGTAATTTTTAGCGACGCTTTGTCAGCTTTACAAATGATCGATTCATACTTTATTAGATGTGCTATTGTAAATGAAATTTTATCCATAATTAATATTTTGCAGTTTAAGGATGTTTGTGTTGCTTTTGAATGGATTCCGTCACATTGCGATATTAGGGGCAATGAGATCGTAGATCGGGCTGCCAAAAAAGGAGCCATGAAAAGGTGTATAGACATAGTTATACCAAATACAAGAAGTGAATTGGCAGCCTCTCGTTTGATCCATTATAACAAATTATGGCAAGCAGAATGGGACAATGCAGAACATGGTAGATTGTTATATGCTTTGCATAGCGACGTTTCAAAGCCCATACATAGACAAGGCCTATCTCGCAGAGAAGAATGCTTGATACAACAACTAAGAGTAGGTAACTGTAGTTTAAATTATTACCTTTTTCAAATTAACCAACACGATACTGGTCTTTGTGAAGTTTGTCAAGAAGATGAAACAATTAAACATTTTATTTTCTATTGTACAAAATACGACAAAGATAGACGTCTCTTAAAAGAAAGGATTAAATTAAACAACCCCAATCTGAAACAATTATTGATGTCTAACCCAATTTTTACTCGTGAATTATTGATACTAATCGTTTTAGATAGCTTTTAAAGCTATCAGGGATCCCCTTAACTTATGTCGATCCTGTAATAATATATAAAATGAAGTATTTGCGGTTTTTCCATGAACAATTGCAACTAACTCCCATCTCGCCTTTTATGTGCATTTTATGCAATTTTAATATTGCAGCTTTTTTTTTTTTTTTATAAAACCATATCACTATTAATTTCATTTCACCAAGGAAAGTCGCTCGTGGGCTTGATTTCCGAAGCCCACGCCAAAGCTATACACGAAATTGACTGGCGCAAATAATCTTTGAGATTGAAGAGCGCCATCTAAACGAAGAACCAACCAACCAACCTCTTACTTCCTTATTCCTTGCCCGATTTTGTTCAAATTTTCACTGCCATTTTTCAAATATCTTAAACTTTACAATAAAAATAGTATGAAGGTTTTGGTTTCCTTCAAGGAACTCTAATTATTCAAGGTATGTTCTCCTTTCCCCGTATTACTGAAGCAACTAAATTTGAGTACATAATAAAGAATTATTCTGGAAAGAATTTCGCGGTTTAATGTAGTCTAGACACATAGTTGATGATTAATCATAAATTTATCTTGAATGAAGACAACTGTTTGAGATGCATTTAGTGGGTAGGTACTTAATTAGTACAACAAAATATGATTTCCGGGTCTACATTACGTCATATTGTATTGAGCGATTGTTATGGAGCTGTTATGAGAACATGATGATTCTAAAGTTCATCCTCTTGCTTGCAAGCTCTACTAAGAATATATGAATGGCCAGGTTCAAGAAAATGTGTTATTTTCTCACTGTTTCCTGTATTTTTCTAATCTTTCATTGCTACAGGTTTGGAATGATTCATCTGGATACTTCATCATCAATAAACCGAACATCTCTAGAAGATTGCTGAAATCTTAAGACTCAGTTTTAGAGCGCCTGCTATAAACTCGGTAGACCAGGATGCGGAAACTTTATATAATTCCTTTATTTCTAAAAATCACATTGAAACAAAGATAACCAGACGGCGTGTCAAGAATGATCAAAATTGTTCACTGGTAAATTGGCCTCTCAGATTCCGCAAAAATCAAGAGGTGATCTGCAGATCACCTAATTATATGTAAATTGAAAATTGAATATTTATGTTTGTAAAGACAAAATGATCAAAGTAAATTTCAGAAAAGTGAAATCTTCCAGTTGTGAATTTGTGTTCATTTATTGATTTCATTGTAAACTTGTGGATGTACTGAAAGTCTTGAAAGTGGGGAAAAAAGGATACATTAAAAAGTAGCACAAAGCGTGAGTGAAAGAAAGTGTCTTTTGCTTGTTATTATGGGGCTCGCAAAGCATTAAGCTTCGGTTATCTTGTATCCCTGGCCATTTTTGTTTAAAACGAGTTTATACTTCCATGTTTGTTAAAATGTATTCTGATTTCGTTATTTATTAAAAACTTTAATATGAAGAGTGCATGGTCAAACAATTTTAGATAATCTGAGACAATGAAGGTGAGATAAAGTAAAATAAAAAGTAAAGAGAGAGAATGAGAAAGCGTAAAACAAAGTAAGAAAGAATGAAGAGAGGAGTCGCCAAACAAAGACAATTAAGTTTGACTCGCTGGTGAGTATATCAGGTTTCATTTTCACTCTTTTCTTTCATTTCCTTTGTACTATACATGTGTGTCTTTATGTGGTACACTTGTCCTTACACAATACTTCTATCCATCTCCTCTGATTCTCATACTGATTCGTTAATACTCTTCCTTCTCGTGTCTCCACTTCCTATAATTATTCTTCATCTCATATTCCTTTCTTACAAGTATGATTGACAGTGTTCTTTTCTCTGATACCAAAATTGCATCTGAATATCTCTTGCTCTCAATTTCTGATCCAATTGTCTCCCCCACCCCCTTTCTCTTTCTCTCCTTCTAAAACAATTTTTTTAAAAGCATAACAGTTCAAGTTGGCTGTTTATTTATTAAAGCATGAGTATACAGCATGCCTGTGTAAGGTAAAATTTTCTTCACATAAAATACATTAAGTGGAATCTTGAGTAGTGTGTGTCATAACTAAGTGCTGTTTAATTGTTTTCCATAAGTTTCTAGCTCTAGTCGCATAACAATCTATTTTAAAATACACCTGTAAAAAGAATACAAATATATGTACAATGTATTTTTATTTTCTTTGAATGATATCAGACTTTGGAAGTACCAATTATCTCTTTAGTTAGAGGAAAGCATGTACATGTATTTCTCTTCGACTTGTTGACAAAATATTTTTGACCTAGCATCATATACTTGTATACATATAGTCATTAACAATATTGTTGAATGTAAATGAATAGAATTTGTTGAATAACAATTAATATTGAAACATCAAATGTAATTTCAATCAGCTAGTAACGCTGACACATTAAACATCGGAAGTCTGTACCTCCATCCACAGACTACACCGAAATAATTGAGTCAGAACTTCAAGAACACCATTATCATATAATGACAGGCAAATCCCCTTATTTGCATTATAAATAGCCACCATCATTATCCTGTGATAACATGCCTCCGTCTTAAAACACATCAAAGACAATTTAGGAATTTTAAATGATTCAATCAGAATTATTACCAATAATGGTAGAATTCCTATCGTATAATAGATCTATATATAAATTGAAAGAGTAGACTTAAAAATGATTGAACCAAACTCGATACAAGAGTCATATCCAATTCAGATTCTTATGGAAAATATGCCGTTCCACGATCAAATAATGGATGAATTTTTACTAGTGTAAAGACTCATGATTAAAAGCATGATTAATGTGATTGCTTCCAGATCAAAACAAAATATTAATTAAACAATGTTACTTTTACTGAACTACATGGTTACATAATCATCTAAATGAGAAAGATAACTATGCTATCATATTCACCTTGCGAATAAACCTGCATAATGATTTAAACCTATACAAAAAACATAGATCAACATCTTTCTGACATGAAGCCGATTTACAAGGAATGTACTTAAACCACACATGAGATGATAGAGAACACCATCATTCTCTTTGGCAACCCTCTGACTCTATAGTACTACAACTACAGTCACGTATTGTAATTGAAGTTCAGCTGAAGCTCGATTGCTAAAATCAAATATCAATTATCATTCATTGTTACTAGTCACTACTCAGTCTCCGAGTCCACGCCTATCTATTTGTACCATTGAATTATGAATTACAACTACAGTGACTACATTTCATATTGATTGTATGCCACATTATCAAACTTGTTATGTTTCTTGTTGTTTCCTTTCGATCTCACTCTCACTGTCGCTCTGTCCTCCCATTTTTAGTATTTCCAGTGTCATCTACTGCTATATAAAAGGTCTTGTTTTCTTGTTGACATCAGTGACTGATGCTAGACATGTGTTATCTGCAGTTACAGACAGAAGGGGGAACCATTCAGCTAGATCATGCAGTTCTTGCACTTTCGTTAACATCAGTGAATGCTGTGGTCCATGCGTTACCTCCAAAACCCTCTTTGCCTGAAAAATCAAAATAATGAATTAAGAAATAAACAAATAAATAACAGAAAAACATCTGGCATCAAATTAACCTCCTCCTAAATCAGAAGCAGAAAAAGAAAGGAAGAGTTGAAGGACAGTTTAAAGAGAGAACTAGTTTATAAGAGAAACCATTTTTCATACAAATGTATGACATAAAGGGATGCATTTATTGGTTCGATGTGATGAAAAGAAAATATTGATTTACTTCATCCTACATGTTTCTAGCATGCTAGCAAGGTCACTTTCTCAGTCTCTATGCATGGAAAAGCATGGATTAAAGTAGATCAAATTCCTTCCTTACTGATTGAGAACTTGTTCATCTATTGTCCTAGCTAATTTATATCATGGCTACTGACACGATTTAGGTTCTGAATAAGAATGTCCAGTAAACAACAAACTTGCATATGACGTACTGGGGGGTTATGAGCCCTTTTCAGCCGTATAAATTCATATCTATAAACACTTGTCCACTTGTTCACTATATGGGGGCACCTCAGATGATTCTGGATTCTGGATTTCAAAGTAACTTTGTATCGTATAGGGCATTTAATTGTCATCGTCCTCCCCTACCCCAACCCACAAACACCATCCTTAAAGATGAATTAATGCTCTCGTATAAGACCGCAAATGCCTTCGAAGGGCATGGTTTTTGCTCTTATTCGTTGTTTATGACATTTCTAGTGCCCTTTTAGTATCTGAAATTGGTATGAAGGTAATTTTAGACCCCCAAATGTGTGAATTTAGATTGAATACGATCATTCCAATTCACCTCCACTTTAAAAAAAAGTACGGTGATCGGTAATTAGTTGATTAATTAGGCCCGACTGGTTGTGCGTATTATAACCAACACGTAAAAGCCAACAAAAAGCCAAATGACATTGGCTGGAATAGAAAGTATAAGGCGCTATCTCGTTTTTCAACGGCTGATTCAAAATTAACCATATATTTAACTGTGTGGCACCACAAATATTAGAAATTGTATGGATATTTCAGTCGTCTCTGAACCGATTTTGATCAAAAACAGATGATTTTGTCATCTAAATTGTATATTCTTTCGAATTTGACCTCATTTTTTCATTATCTCACACAAAAAATTCTTGAGTAGCGCCCTCTGCAACAGAACAACTATTCCTTAAATAGTAAACGTCAAATAAATCCACAATTCTACTCTTCTACTCGGCTACAAAGTCAAATGTTGTCAAAACAGCTGAATGAAGAAAAAAAAAGGGGGGGGGGAGTTCAGTACAAAAATGAAAACAACCGCTGTTGTAGTCTTCATTAAAAGACAGTCCTACCAATTTATATTAAAAAAATAGTTAGTTACCTCTGTGAGATATTTTCTGGCCTCCTGAATTCTCCCCATTTCAATCAGTAGTATATCAGCCATGTCCAGGAGGTATATCCCCAGCCTGTCACTGTACGGTCCACAGTGATATCTAAATCAAATAACATAAGATTCAGTCATAAAGCTATGGTTTTGCTAAATTTACAGTGGGTTCTAGGACACTTAACGCCTAGACAATTACCCCTCAAGGACATTAATACCCCTGACAAATCATTCCCTTGCACAATTACAAATGAATGGCATCCACCCGTTTCTTATTCCTTAGTATTCTTGCAAGGGTTTACCCCCAAAACGCCTAGCGCCATGTGTCAACAAGCCATTATTAGGGGGAAGATCTGCCGAAAATATTACACGACCTCAGTCTGATCATTTCTTTATAAAAGTTTAATTAATGTACCATTTACGTTCTGTTCATTATTGCAAATAAAGGGGAAAAGAGATCATGTATCTGAATTGCACTAGTTGTTCTATGTAATGTGTATAATATTAACACATTCTTACCTCACAGACTCTATGTTCAGTTGTCCCATCTCCACAGCTTTCTCACGTGCTTCCCGTGCTTGTGAGTGCTTGCATGATGTTATTACCTTCCCTCTGAGCTTCATCAGGAGATGATTGGCTGGAAGACTGCTAGAAGGGTCCATCGGCTTCAGGTAGGGTTCACACAGCTGTAACACTTTGGCCCAATGTATATCTCACCATTAAGAAAGAATAAACCTGTGCAATGAAAACTAATCGAGATAGGGACAAAGAGCTGGGAAGAATGTATACAGCGAAAATGAGAGGACTAACATTGGTTCAGTGAGTTGGGAGTATAGCAGTCTAGTTCTGGACCTTTCATTGATTTTTTGTATTCGCCGATTATAAGCGTTAAGCCGAGTGATGGCGCGATCCCGAGAACCTTTTCCGGACCGGTTCTCGGGATCGGGGGGGGGGGGGGGGGGGGGGGGTGTTTCATCAAACATTTAGTCGGTGGTTTTCACCGACTAATATCATTTTCACCGACAAATTCATCATCACCGACTAATTTCCATTTCATGAAAATTTGTCGGTGGAAAACACTGACAAATTTCTCTAAGTCACCGACTAATTTTAATAATTTAGTCGGTTGCCTTGGACCTCGGGATCGCGCCGTCACTAAGGATCGCGCCATCACTCGGCTTAACGCTTATAGTCGGCGAATAAAAAAATATCAATAAAAGGGTCCAGAACTAGATTAGGGGTATAGAGGAAAAAGTAAAGGAGAGAGAGAGAGAGAGAGAGAGAGAGAGAGGAAGAAAAAAAAGGAAAAGGAGGGCAAGAGAGAAAAATATAATACAAGAAAGGTATTTTTAGAATGTAAATTGTGCAAATAAAAAAGCGACCTTAAAACTCTATGATTACGATAAATGAAACAAACATAAAAGGAGAAAACAGTTATTGACTTCATTTCTGGGATTTCAACTTAGTGACATATGGTAATATAACTATAGTCACTTTCTAAATAAACTTAAATGGCAACGAAGGATATCTTGTGACTCCTCTAAATCCTCTATTTGCTCCAAGGATTTCTTCAGACCTCGGAGCTCTTTACTTAAACCATCACCTGGCTCCAATGACTGCAATATACAGAAAACATTTAATCAGTATGTAAAAAAAGATTAGCTTGACAATGAGAACATATTTATTTTGCACTGCAATGCATTTATTGCAAGTTATGTGAAACAATTATGGACTTTGAAAATCACTTATTATTTAGTGCATTACTGAGAATAGATCAATGCAGGTATATATAAACTGCCTTGGCTAATGTATGCATGAGCATAGGGTACCTGAGAGTGATGTCATTATTCAAAATTTGAGTAATAATAGAAAGTAAAGCAGTGCGTGGATGCAATTATTGCCCAATATATTGTTTTACATTACTTTGAACAATGGAATTAATAATGGTGCATACTCATTTATGAAGCCACAGACCTTATCCCAAGACCATCAATACAATTCAAGTTCGAAGATAGTAGTTTAAAAGAAAACTACCTATCGGTTTATACAGCTGGAATTCTATTTCCAGGATCTTTTGCAACATTTGAGAAGAGTTAAACAAAGAATAAAACTGTAAAGTAAAGACTCACATTGATTTCTTCAACGCATCTCACACACTTGCAGGTGAAGTGATATCTCTTTTCCAGCTCAGCCTGTCTCTCTTTAGTTGGGTTAATGTTATCTATATAGCTGATTGTACACTAAAACCAAACGAAAACCGGTTGTAAGGATCTTAAATTATAAAGCACATGTTATTTTCGTAATACATGTACAAATAAAAACCATTATGTTTTTCAAGGTCATAGTTTTGCAAAATCTAGAACATAACATAGATTGAATCCTTGGATTCTCACATATAAACTGAACCATTTGGGTGTGCTGATTGAAATCTTATAAACATTGGTAGGCTAATCCTGAAAATTGTACGGTGAAATTATAGTAGGTTATAATCCTGACAGAATCCATATAAAGCAACAATTACATTTATTTAAAAATATTTATTGTATTTTCTCTCATGTGCATATCCAGAACATGAGGAATAAAATAAATGTGGTATTTCAGTTGAGAATAAAATATGTGGTCTTACCTCTTCTCCTTCTGTCACATCTTTAACGGTCCTGAGTTGAAGTTTCCTCCCATCAAACACCCATGTACAGTTAGGATCACAGGAATGGTTCACCATAGATGCTCTACAAAACAGCAACAGTTAAAACAGAGACATATTATAATGACACGTTTTATTTACACAAGAAAAATAAAGAAAAATTCAACCTAAATGGGATTGGGAGAGCAAAGGTACCGGTACTAGTAAACTTTGACCTAGTGTCAGAGAAGGTATAGGGTAGAGAGAAAGGATCTATTTTTGCCACATCACAGTTTGAGAGGGATGAATATAGACCATCCACTCACTACTTAAAGGGAAAGTCCACCCCCAAAATAAGTTTGTTTCGATAGAGGCAGAATAATAAGAAAATCAGGTGAGTAAAAGTTTGAGCAAATTCTGAATGAAAATAAAAATTATGAATTATTGAAGTTGTGATCAATCAAATACAAATTGGCAACTCTGTGACTTATTATACGAGCTCTCCTTCATTTGCTTTGTGCATAATATTCCATAAAATCATGTTTTCTTCGTTATTGATGACGGAATATATATTTGTTCCTTGCAGGGGGAGTATAGAAACATATTTGCAATTATTATATTTAGGGTGCATGTATGGTTGAAATTTTTCTTGAGGAAAAATGAAAATTTTAGATTTGTTTATTGATACGTGATTGATGCATGATACGTCATAGAGTTGCCAATTTGTGTTTGATTGATCACAACTTCAAAAATCCTAACTTCCTTATTTTTAATCGGAATTTGCTCAAACTTTCACTGACTTGTTTCTCTCATTTTTCTACTCCTATTAAAACTAACTTAATTTCAGGGTGGACTTCCCCTTTAAGGCCCGGTCACACAGAGGGGACGCATGGGGGACGCACGGCCAGCTCATTGGAAATTTGCAATTTGAGCCAGTGCGTTGTCGTTCGCTAGGCGTGCGTCATCATTCGTTACTCGTTCGTCGAGCGCGCTGGACCAACGCTGGACCAGCGTCATGCATTCGTCGTCATTCGCTGTGTGCGTCGTTTTTTGTTAGCATGCTCAAAAGTGTGCGCGGAGCTCGACGCATGAATGTACACGCCAAAGGCACGCCAGACATGCGTGGAGCGCGCTAGACCAGCGCCAGACATACGCGGAGCACACGCCCTGTATACGCACAGCGCGCTAGCTACACGCTGTGCATTTTTTGTCAGCTCGCTAGCTTTTCCAAAATTATGACAAAAGTTAGGCACACGGCCTTTTCCGATTTCCAATGCGCGGGCCGTGCGTCGTAGAACGCGGTGCATGCGTGGACCATTCGTCCAGCGCGCTAGCAACACGCTGTACATTCGTGGAAGTTGTTATCATGTGCGCTCTGTGTACGGTCTGTATGCGCACTGTATGCGCCCTGTATGCGCTCGCAACACGCTATGCATTTGTTGTCAGCTCGCTGTAGCTTCGACAAAAGTTGGGCGCACGACAACGCACTGGCCAAAATTGCAAATTTCCCATGCGCTGGCTGTGCGTTCCCCATGCGTCCTCTCTGTGTGACCGGGCCTTTAAGCAAATGGAGGTGATGTGACAGAAAAAGGAACTTTGAACAGAGCTTCAGACTAAACAGTGTTCTGCGGCATCTGTGGTAAGTTCTTAGTAGCATTATAATGTATTTGACATACATAATTAGATAGAAACCTCGAAGAGGCAACTTGATTTAATGTGTTGTGGACAGCTCTTATGTGTCTCATTCAAGGATTGATATGGGTTGTGTTTTCACAGTCCTGCTGTTATTATGTGACAATGATACCATTAGAAGAATGTACGGAGAAACACTGTGTATAGTGTACTAGATGGGTAGATTCATGTCAATATTTAGAGGCCTATCATTAACTGCTTTTCATAATGAGTTGGTGTAGAAAACATATAGGCTACACCTGTGTTAGAAATGTTGCTTCTCAGTATAAAGTATTGTGTATGAATATTTATACCTGTAATCTATTCCAGATACCTTGAGGTGGAATAGCTCCTTTTATTAGCAATATAAAAGAAGACCTGTAGATATACAGTAATAGCTAGTAGGTAAAGAGATAAATTGTATCATTATTATTATTCGCTGGCGGCTGTCGGGCATGGGTTTGAGAAGGTTGGGAATTATAATATTTGTTTTATATCAATGGTTCGCATTCCACTTTAAGAATTATAGTGCACTAGTTGGTCAAATTCTAGTCTCGGTGTCTCGCTAGGAGTCTCTTCTCGAGAGCTCAAAAGGGGAGGGGGGGGGGGGGGAGTCAGTGTAATAGGTAAAGAGAACTATACGAAAAGGCAATTTATATTTCTGTATTAATGATTAATCATGCATATTTGTGCATTTTATTTGTATACCTTGCTTATTGCTTTTTTTGGAAGTTAACTGTAAACCATATCTGGAAAAGTATCCATGTACTTGCACAGTATTTGTACGGTGTGGGAAAATGTCACGTAGGGCAATAGTTATTTTGACGGATGGTTGTTATCAATGTTAAGTGAACAGAAATGTAAGGTCATAAACACTACTTATTCATTATAGGAATGTTCGTTTTGATAGTTAGACACAATTGGACTCATTTATTAATGTATATACTTATTTCTATTTAAAAAAAATCATACGTTTACCTTGTTGAAACACTTACATATACATAGATTTAAAGCACTACTGTTTTGAATAGTTACAGCTACCTTTCTTATTGTTGCTGATGTTATGTAAAAGAAACAAAAACTACTCTATTTGCCTGTTTCTTTTGTCTTTCTTATTAGGGGTTTATTCACCCTCAGTTGAAAACCACATAAAACTCGGAATGATTTCGTTGAGTGTCACTTGTGCCTGCTGTTACAATAGTAGCATAAATCACCTCAAATATATCCCAGATGCGATGGCAATCAGATCGTTATTATATATTGAGAAGCTGTTGCAGTTAATCACCCCATACATCTTCACCAAGCTGCTAGGCTCGGCTAAGACATCCTCCTCAAAGAACTGCTGCAACACAAACAACAAGCTCTCAATATTATCCTTTTTAGCATAGCTCAGATGAGATTCCAACTGGTCTACGGTGGTTGGGAAACAATCCTCATTATCCTGAGTGCATGGAGTAGACTTTCTTTGCTTCCGGATGAGATGAGACAGAAGCTGAGCTCCGTGTAAGTCTGGAGGGCTGGGATGTATTTTCTGCAGTATTTTGCACTCTTGCTTGTGGCATCTTGTCCAGTCTCTTTTCTGCACAAGGTACAAACAACAAACAACAGCCATTATAGAAACTTGACATCTTTAACACCTTTTAAATCACAATCATGTGTAAAAAATCTCCTCACTTAATAGCAAGATATTAACCCGCGCCTGCTACTCTCCACCCAGGTGTTAAATGGGTACCCGGTAGGATGCGACCGTCATTGTATGGAAGCAGGAGACCGTCAAAAACATGGATATACGTCGTGTCGTAATTCGAATTGCCACACTACCTAAATAATTACGTCGTGTAGTAATTCGAATTGCCACACTACCTAAATAATTACGTCGTGTCGTAATTCGAATTGCTACACGACGTAATTCCGAATTACTGCCCAACGATTTAACGTCATGACGTTAAATGAATTAACTACACGACGTTAAATAATTAAGGTCGTGTAGCAAATCAAATTACTACACGACCTAAATAATTACGTAGTGTCGTAATTCGAATTAACACACGACCTAAATAATTACGTCGTGTTGTAATTATTTCTGCTCAACGATTTAACGTCGTGTAGTTAGATCATTTAACGTCGTGTAGTTAATTCATTTAACGTCATGTAGTTAAATCAACCAATGAGGTCTTTCGTAATATATGCGATGCGAAGATCATATTTGCGTGCCAAAAATATGTATACGATGCGCGTTCGTGCGCTTTAGTAGTGGCCGGTCTTCGCATCGCATATATTACGAACGGTCTCATTGGTTGATTTAACTACACGACGTTAAATGAATTAACTACACGACGTTAAATGATTTAACTACACGACGTTAAATCGTTGAGCAGTAATTAATTACAACACGAAGTAATTATTTAGGTAGTGTGGCAATTCGAATTACTACACGACGTAATTATTTAGGTCGTGTAGTAATTTGAATTGCTACACGACCTTAATTATTTAACGTCGTGTAGTTAATTCATTTAACGTCATGACGTTAAATCGTTGGGCAGTAATTCGGAATTACGTCGTGTAGCAATTCGAATTACGACACGACGTAATTATTTAGGAAGTGTGGCAATTCGAATTACGACACGACGTATATCCATGTTTTTGACGGTCTCCTGCTTCCATATCATTGTTGGTCAAACAGTTTTGAGCGTCATGTAACGCCTGGCTGGAATGCTCCCCAGGGAGTGGAGATTGTGCACACAGTGTGTGCGGGCAAGCACTGAATCCAATGAATGGGGTAATAGTATATTTGTAAAGCGCTTAGATAATGTTGTATTAAGCGCTATATAAAAACTAAATATTATTATAATTATTATTTAATAATAATAATAATGATAATAACAACGTTTATAATGCGCACATATCCACCCCAAGAGATGCTCAAGGCGCCTAACAAGGTGAGTACATTGAACGAAAATAATTTAACATAATTAAATATAATTCAACAACGTTATAACAACAGATTGTGAAATACACTACGTCTTAACTAAGGAATTCAGACATTAAATAGGTTTTCAGTTGTTTTTGGAACATATTTTGATTGGCTGACATTTTGATTGAATGGGGTAGGGAGTTCCATAACCGGGGTGCAGCAGCTGTAAAAGCTCTATCTCCCCAACTCCTCTTTGTTCTTAATTGTGTTAAATTAGTTGAATTAGAGGAACGAGGACCTGCACGAGAACTTAAAGAGATATTAAGAAGAGAGGAAATATATTCAGGGACTGATCCATTTAGTGAACGGTAGGTGAGTAGTAGAATTTTATATTTGATACGCTGTTCTATTGGAAGCCAGTGAAGGTTCTTGAGTATTTGAGTAGTATGGGTCGAACGTTTAGATTTAATGACAAGGCGGGCAGCTGCGTTTTGAAACTTTTGTAGTCTGTGAATTTGGTATTTAGGAAGTCCATAAAGGAGAGAGTTACAGTTAGGCGCCTTGGATTAATTCGAGTGGCAGTAAACACGCGGCTTATTAACCTGAGAGCGCATGCATCAAAGCTGTCGGAGTTAATCCCGGATGCACGATTTGCCCACGAGAAGACGCATTGTGTGTGTCCGAACACCGTGACGTCCTTTTCAAGCCAGAAAATTGTCAACCCATTGAAAGATTCGTAATACTTGTTTAGCTCCCTCTGCGGCTAAACTAAGTTATTTAGCTTAGCTTGAGTTCGTGTCTAATTAACACTGTACTCTGTGGCCCGAATTCACAAAGCAAGGTTTGAGCTCAAACCTCCTTTTGTATCGCCAAACCTCCCTTTGTTATTTACAAACCAGGTTTGTAAATAACAAAAGGAGGTTTGGCGAAACAAAAGGAGGTTTGAGGTCAAACCTTGGTCTGAGCTCAAACCTTGCTTTGTGAATTCGAGCCTGTATGTTTGGAATGGATCATTATGCACAATAAGAACACCGTTTAAAAGGGTTGTTTACAAGTAATAAGACCTGTTTAAAAAATTCAACAAGCTGTTGTATTGTAATGAACTGTTAGCATTTTAAACAATTACGTTTTATCTGTGTATATATAACCGAATGAATTTTTAAAAAGTAGATTTTTTTTCGGGGAGGTAACTTGGAGGTGTCAATCTAGACACATTATGGGAGCCCCGTTCAAATTTAATTCTCCAGCCATTAATGGAAATAAAGACTAGTGTTTTTTTTCTCTCTCGCCGGTATAAACAATTGCGTGCTCGCCATAAAGCCAATGTGTTGATTCATGAATTCTTGTTTGGAGACTATGCTATTCCATTGTCATGTAACTCATAGAGGCAAAACACATTTTACGAAAGTTTTTAAATATTATTTTTTCTTTGAACTTGGTATAAAGCCCTCTCCAAAGAAAACATTTTTTCTTGTTCCTGTTCATCTCTTTTCCTCCCTCTCTTCTCCCCACTCTCTCTTTTGTTTCTTCACTGGCCACCCATTATGGGTGCAGTCTGCCTCCCTATCCGCATTCTGCCCCGTGCCCCCCCCCCCCCCTCCCCCGTACGATAGTGTTTCTCCGGCTTATTATTATCATTATAATCATCATCATATTATTATTATTATCATTATTTAGATGGGGAGGGTGATGAATAATGAAAGGAAAGCAATTAATAAAAATTCGTTTATAATCGTTTAAAAATTTGGGTTGATTTTACTCTTCCATTCAATAAATCTCATTAAAATGTGAAAACTGCACTCATTATACATTTTTTGTCTTCCTCCCTCCCCCAAGTATACTAATGTGTCTCCTGCTTTTTGTTTGTTTGTTAGGTGGGGGTAATGGAAGGAAGGTAACAAATCATTGATTGACATTCGTTTAGAAATTTGCGTTTATTTTGCTCACATCACAAAAAAAATCAAGATAAATCAATACTCTTGCACAAGATTCAATATTACGATTTATGATACTTTATTTCTCCAATCGTGCAAAATATAAACTAACATTCTCAATTGCTCCTGTTTGTTGTACTTTCATATTATTCATTATAATCGTTTTTTTGTTCTTCATAAGCATGTCCATTTTTCTTTCACATGAAATTCTGATACTAATGGTACTTCATTGGGAGCAGCGTAATCCGTGCTCGCCCTGAAGAAATCACATGACGGCAGGCACCCTAGTACCTCATAATCCGCCCTTCTATTGTTCGAGTTTATAACCATGACAACGAACTCTACCTTTGGCCAAGTTCATTGTTCCTCTTACGTAACATAGATCTAGATAGGCCTCAGACATAACTCTTTTCGTATATTCATTCTATATACCGGTAGTTCTAAAATGCTTTCAAATATTTTGTGTCGTTTTTGTTTGTATATACTTTGTCAATTTACTTACAAACTATTATTGTCAAATTTGCTAATACTAATAAACTATTACGTTTACCCTATCATCTTCCGCTCTAGAATCCTATCATTTATTTATTTTTTATTTGTTGGGTCCTTTTTACATTTTTCTTGTCTCTCTCTCTTCAAGATTTCTTCTGTTTTTGTAAGGGTATTTATGCTGTTAATTTTTGTATAAATAAAAGAGAAATTGTTATTCTTTCTCTTATAATGTTGTCCACCTTCTTCTATAGATAACCCTTTTGAGCTTTAGTATAATGTCCGATGTATATTACTTCTGTCAATAACATACAATGAACGTATAATTTTATTTTGATGCAACAGAGATTTTTATTTTTATTTAGGAGTACGTCGAATCGTGATCTCATTTAAAACCTTTGTACACGGCACGCGCGGGTACACCGTACGATGCATGAGCCTTGACCTTATATGGTCATTGACGCCTATTCATGGAACGGGCCTATTATTGAAAAGCTTATATAGTATATAGTACAGTCTCGCTCGACCTAGCGCTCTCAGCTCAGGTCACTCATGCGTACGTATACAGGGTACCAGGTCGGCCTATTATTGAGGAGATTAGCTAGTCTCGATATAGTCCATCCCATTGTTTCAATTCAAGATTGTCGGCTTTATTTACTTATCGTGCTATAAAGTGTCGGAGTTTTACTATTGAGTACAGCTTTTTGATTTTCATGATAGTTGGTTGCACAAATTAGTTCTCAATTCTTTGCTTATAACTGCTCTTTATCTATGTAAGATAGCAGGGGCGGATCTAGCTTTTTGCTCAGGGGGGGGGTTTGACCAATAATGACGATGCGGAGCATCGTCCACGAGCCGCGAAGCGGCGAGCCGATTTTTTTTGGGTGTTTATTTGAACCCCGTAAGTGATGTTTTCCTGGCATCTATTAACACAATGGAGACCATAAAAAGCAGTGCATGATAACGTCTTTTTAAATCAAGTAACAGTTAAATACACAGTTATATCCAGAGTTATCATGTGTTTGGTTAAGTTACCAGATGAGTTGAATATCTTCTCACAATATTTGCACTTGAAAGGGTTTCTCTCCAGCGTGCGTTCTTTTTCTTCCTTTTTTTTCTTTTTTTTTTTTCTTTTTTTTTTCTTTTTTTTTTTTTTTTTTTTTTTTAATGTGGGGATTTTGGGGATGAGAATCGGCAACGCTGGCCTAGCTTGTCACTTCGGCGGTGGCCCGTGTCCTCAAA